AGATTATCGCACGTCAATTCCTTTCATGAAGTTGGGGATAGTCAAAGTAGAGGCGTTGAGGAACAGCTGGTGAGACCGGCCATAGTGTTCAGAGACCACAAACGCTATCGCTACGGTAGAGTCGATCAGTGGATTTAAAACCCAAAATTTGGGGAAGCTTTTCTGAATGCAAAAATCGAGTTATAGTTCTCTTAAATAAAGGATAATTTTGCAGAGTTTTCACACTCATTGGTAGTTTATTCCAAATAGCAATTGCATTTACAGAATAGAACCGAAGATATTTAACAGCACGTGCCAGAGGCAGAAATAAGAAGACCTCATGGTGACTGGTACGTCGTGGGTGGATATGATGTCTTAAAGAAGTGAGTGGGTTAAATGTGTGATTATATAAGAGTTTAAATAGCAAAAATAGTCCCTTTTGTAATCTACGGAACCATAAAGGATCAAGGTCCGTAAGCCGGCAAAGTTCTTGGTAAGACAAATGTCGGTGTTCCGGGGTTAAAATTCGCTTGGTAAAAAAGTGTTGAAGGGATTCTATTTTCTTACGCTCAGTAGCACGCATGAGGCTAAATAAAAACTAACAGTATTCCAGACCAGGTCTAACGTACATGTTGAAAAGGCGCATTCTGATGTCCCTAGTTTTAAAGTTTCAGAGGATAAACCCGGTCGTTCTGCGTGCTTTGGAGACTATCAAGGCACAGTGCTCCGAGAGATTGAGACTCTTGGAGTATGATATGCCAGATCCTTAATAACCCTGGGCACATTTATGGAGTGACCTTCAATATTTAGTTTAGGTTGGTGGTCGTCGCCAACCAGCATGACTGAGCACTTATGCCAAGAAAGAGAAAGGCGCCATGTGCGGCACCACTGGGCGAAAGCCTGTAGATCGCTCTTTAGGAGCTCAAGCACGATGTCACGATCTGCCGGCTTATATCGATATGCAATTTTAAGATCATCGGCATACATGAAAGGCTTACCATTCTGAAATAAATCGGGTACATCGTTAACGAAAAGGCAAAATAAAAGCAGACCGAGTACACTACCTTGAATGACTGCACTCCTTACACGTGTGGGGTTGGAGATCGTATTGGAAATCTTAACTCGTTGTGTACGAGTGCCCAGGTAAGAGGATATAAAATTCAAAAGTTTGCCACCTATTCCGAAAGAGAACAGTTTCAAGAGAAGAAGAGCATGGTCAACACGATCAAAAGCCTTAGTGAAATCGAAATATACTGTGTAAAGTGCAAAACCATTGTCCCTAGATTGGAGAACATAGTCAAAGAAAGAGAGTTGACAGGTGTCACAAGATCGAGCTTTGAGGAATCCATGCTGAGCAGCACTCAGTAGGTTATTCACTGTTAAGTGAAGCATCATCTTATCCTTGATCAATGTCTCTAAGATCTT